CCATGTTTGGTGTGCATAGGCGCCGGAACTTCAAAATTACTATGGGGGCTCGGGCTCCAAAAATTAATATAAGTAGAATCAATTAGACAGACAGGACTAGGCTACTAGACAAATAGACTTAAATGGGACCAGTTGGCAGATACCCATTTCGCTGCAGGATCGCTACGCTGGATCATTGATTGTCCCCGCATATGATTATCCTACATCTTCGGCAGCTCAGCTATACTCGGCTTTACCAGCACCATTGGTGTAGCCAGGATTTTGCCTTGAGCCAGGGGAAATTTGCAGGAAGTGATCCTTGTAGCCCCGCCGCAAACGCTACAGGAGGGAAAGCGCCGCAGGTTCGAAATTTTTGGGTCCTTTCACCGTATTTTTGGGACTTCTAATGGCGGGGATGAGGCCATTTAAACAAATTTTGATAAGAATTTATAGTAGAACCCCTCTTATATTATAATGCATGTATTTGAATATTCACGTAGGACTTGAATTGATTCTCTGTTGATTTCAATTTGGAATTATTAATAAAATTCAAAGGCCTTGGGGGAAAGGGGGCAGATGCCACTTTGTCCCCTTTCCTGGCCACGTCAGTCGCCAGTGGGCGGCACCGGTTTGATTCGCCTTAACCGAGTACAAGCTAATTCGTCTTATTACTCCCTATGTGTCTAGTAGGTTTTCCGGTCTGTATATAAATTGTCCATGATAAACTAAGTAAAAAAAGCTAGTGTATTGGTAGTATTGGTACATCATATCATATTCATGTGATGTGAACATACCTAACATGAAAACGAACGAAAAAGAAATAATAATAGAACGACCTATTGAAAATAGAGGTTGAAATACTACACAATAAAATATTCAAAATGATTGTTGAAATAGGTATAGCAAAAACAACAAAAACATTAAACACACAAGTTTGATATAAAAATGAATAGTTAGGAACAGGAACTCAATATTTCTGTGCTTACCCATTACACCCACTACACACAATACCAAAATCACTATGGGGGCTCTGCCCCCATGGTTCCGGCGCCTATGTTGGTGTGGTAAAAATTGGTTTTTCGCCATGAACTGGACAATTTTGAGGTGAATAGACACTGTGGCAGGACTAATAAATTGAAAATACATGTACCTATATGGGATCGAAGACGGCTAGAGCCGTTATTTGTTTATAGAAGAAAATTGGGGTGACTGCTTTAAGTGCTTTAGACGTCATGTCCCAAGTAAGGGAGAAGAATAATAATATGATGGTTTTAGCCGTACTGTCCGCGAACGTAATAAAGGTAAATAGACGTTTTTCACCTCAGTGATTCAAAAACATTTTAACTCACTCTCGGCATTTTAAGTCACTCTGCCGAACTAAAAATCCGACTCCTCAGTGATTTTATAGTTATTTATACACCAAGTGAGTTAAATGAATGTTTATTCATGAGAAGAAAGTTTAACCCACGAGCCTTAGTGAGTGGGTTAATTTTCTTCGAATGAATAAACATTTTAACTCACGTGATGTACTTATACAAAATTTTATCCCATTTTGATGGACATTTAAAAAATTAAGTACTCAATAAGAATCAAATTATAAAAAAAATCATTCAGCGAGCGCTAATGTCTAATACCTACTGGAACTGGTAGTTGCTAGGGTATAGCTAGTTGTTTGTTTGTATTTGTAGCAGATTTTTGTACTGGCAGAGTGACTTAAAAGACCGAGAGTGAGTTAAAAATATTTTAAGTCACTCAGGTGATAAACGTCTACTTACCTTTGTTATTATGCGTTCGATAATGTCATTTTTAAACGTCAAAATGGGATAAAATATTTTAACTCACTCTCGGCATTTTTCCTTTTACATTATTTTTTGAAATTTCCACAAAATGGGATAAAATTTTGTATACATTACGTGAGTTGAAATGTTTATTCATTCGAAGAAAATTAACCCACTCGCTAAGGCTCGTGGGTTAAACTTTCTTCTCATGAATAAACATTCATTTAACTCACTTGATGTATAAATAACTATTATCATATATTAATTGAATTTTAAACAAAAAATCCTTTTAAAATGTTATTTTTGTTTTCCGAGATGAGATGTAGCAACGTTGCTTTTAGTTGGCCATTTTGAAGTGACGTCTTGTGATTTTTTGCCAGTTTTTTCTCGAATTTTCGACTTTTCCGGGGTTTTTTAATGGAAAAAAGCGATTTAACATACGAGGTTTTGAGTTTTCTTCATTTTTTAGTAAAAATTTCTAGTTTTACATGCCATAATTAGGAAAATCCCATTTAAAATGCTTTTGATGTGGCAACATCGCTTGTGGCTAACTTCAATAAAGGAAGCATTTTTGACAGTCGGCCATTTTCAATTGACGTGTTTACATTTTTATTTAATTTTTCACTTTTCCGGGGCTTTCTCGATCGGGAAAATTGATTTAAAGTACGAGGCTTTGAGTTTTCTTCATTTTCCACCAAAAATTTCCAGTTTTTCAACGGGGAAAGTGAGAAAAACTTCAGTTTCATCAAGTAGGTTTTGGAATGTCATTTTCGTTTTTTTTTTTTTTTTGAATTTTTATTTGTGTCTTTTGGTGTCCGGGGATCGTTTTCCAAGTGATGGTTTTCTTGAAATTCGCAAAATAAAATACAAAAAACTTTTTTTGACGTTGAGTTGACATTTCTGGCGTAATCACATGATAAAATGGTTGGGTTTTATTGGTAAAATATTCGCCATGTTGGATATTTCACTAATCAAATTACACCATATTATCACGTGATTACGCCAGAAATGTCAACTTACGCTCATGAGAATTCGCCCTTATAGTAGAGCGGGGAAAAAGTCGAAAATGTGTCAAATTTGACAGGTGACATCTGTCGATATCGACAAAAGTTTTATCCGTTCATTGTCAACTGATTTTAATACTCCGGCCCTTCGGGCCGTAATCTTTGAAACAAAAAGACCTCATTTTGTATCGATTGTCAAAAAAACCAAAGTCTACTTTGAAATTTCAACTTTTTGACGTTTGTTGTATCATGAGCAGTGTTGCCATATGTTTTTTTCAAATCTCGAGCTCGAAGGGCCGAGATTATAGGTTATTTCAAACCCAATCAGGAGCCGGGAATATTCAAAATTTAAAGCCAGTCAAGAGCCGGGAATAATCAAAATTCGAATCCCCAAACCAATCAGGAGCCGGGAAAATTCAAAAATTCGAATTCCAAACCCGACGGGAAATTGAATTTTTTGTACCAACTGTTGCTACAAATGAATTCATTAAATTTTCATATAAGTGTTGCTACATGTTGCTACGTAAACCTCACCCTAAAACCCACTAAAAAACGACTTATTTTCTAACTTTTGTTTTTTGGAAAAAACGAAAGAATCTTTTTTTGAGATTGACAGCTGTCGAAATTTAAAAAAACCCACATGGGCATATAGATTTAGCCTCGGCGAATACATAGGAAGTACCAATTTTTTTTTAACATATGTCAAAAAAGACGTTCGGCGTTGCCAGGCTGTTAGTTTTTGACATATATCGATGAAACTTTTAATTTTAGGGTTTTCGGAGCCTTTGGGGCCTTATTCTGTAAAGAACGAACCGTTCGATTCGGTAGAATTTCTTCGATTGTGACGGCATTTTCGGCATTTTCGGAATAGCTTCCGCGCTAGCAAACCGAAAATGACGTCACAATCGAAGAAATTCTACCGAATCGAACGGTTCGTTCTTTACAGAATAAGGCCCCTCTGGGGATCGTTTTCTGATATTTATTTTTTGAGAAAAAGAACAGGTAAAATTTTTTGACATTGATAGTTGTCAAAATTTAAACAAACCCACATGGACATATAGATTTAGCCTCGGCGAATACGTAGGAAGTAGCCAAACAGGGGACCGGCTGAGGTTGTCTCAATTATGAGCTCAAAGGGCCTAGGTTATACGAGTTCGAAGGGCCGGAGTCATGCGAACCCGAAGGGCTGGAGTTATACGAGTCCGACAGGCCGGAGGTATACGCGAGCCCGAAGGGCCGGAGTTATACGAGCCCGAAGGACCGGGGTTATACGAACCCGTTCATTGTCAACTGATTTTAATACTTCGACCCTTCGAACTGTAATCTTTGGAACAAAAATCAAAGCCGGGAATATTCAAAATTTAAAGCCAATCAAGAGCCGGGAATAATCAAAATTTGAATCCCCAAACCAAAAAAAAAGGTACCAGAGGGAGCCCAAAGGGCTGGAATTATACGTGAGCTTGAAGGGCCAGAGTTATTTTAATCACGGGGCCCAGTCTATAGTTCTATTGGTCAGCGGATAATTTGAAGCTAATCTTAAATCGGGAATAGAATATTCAAAATCGGATTTTTAGTCGATATTCCGAGTCTCAGTTCTCTCCGATGTACCGAATTATTGAGGGCATGGGCACCCCAAAACAAATTTTGCCTGCTGCGCAGTGGCTACCTTACTATAATTCATTATTTTCTAGCCTCCTCAGTTGAAATAGTCATGAGCCGCCACTGCCCATAAATCAATCAACATTTCACAAATTCCAATGCATATTTATATATTCTTAATAAGAATTAAATGAATCATTTATCTCAAATAGTTTCCGAAATATTGAGCCTCAAAGTTAAAACTTTGTTTCAAATTCAGGAAAACCTTCAAGGCCGAATATCTCGGAAACGAAGCCCTAGGGCTCTATGTCTCAAATAACCTTTTTTGAAGCCCTAATTGAGATTTATATTGAGACAAAATTTCCTGTCGATAGCATTTTTGGTTTCAGAAATATGGCCCTTTGAAATATTTGAAAATGAAATTTCCTTGCATAGAAAAATCTGAATTTTTATTTTTCTAAATTTTTCAATTTTTGACATTATCAATGGAACGAAGGGGTTGAATTTAGTAGAAAAAGTCCCACGATAACTCTTTCATACAAACGTAAATGTCACAGATGTGTTTACTAGGTTAGGAGTAAGACTTCTTTAATATTTAACTGAAAAACTTCTAGATTTGCACACAAATATTTTGTTCTAGATCACCACAATTGCCTCCAAATCCCAACCCAATAGACTCCATAGTATCAACAGTCCAATTCCTACCGCGTCGTTTAGCCAGAATGTTCGAACAAGCGGAAAAATACGCCAGAGAAACAATCTTACCTCTGGTAAGCACCTACACGCCACGTTTCATTTCCGATTTTATCGGTACAAGAGAAGAGCCCAAATACGTACCTCTTCATTACGACGAAGACGAAATCCAGGAAACTGCTTCTTCGCTCAAAGTTGTAGGATCGGAACCGAGAAGTGTAAATGAAGACAGCCACATTCAAAAAATTAGTAAAAAGAAACCACATTACGAGAAGATTGTTTCAACGACAACAGAAAGTAAGGGTTTGATTAGATTAGCACGGGACAATATTAACGATATTACTAATGAAAGAAAAGCTATTTATATTAATTTGCCGGTGTTTGAGGATGATGTCCCAAAAATTAATTATATTCCTCTACGAGAAGAATAACAATAATTATTTGCACACTTATATAATAATTTATGTAAATATGTATTTATTCAAATAAATTTTATAAATATTTAATTTTGAATTTATTTTTAGAAAAATCTACTAACTTTTCACTTGTAAGCTATTTTCAATTAACTTCTTTAGCTCTTTATCTATTTTTCTATCTTCCATCTTTTCTCTACTTTTCAGATGCAGAACCCATTATTGCTGCAACAGATGTCTCAATTCCAAATTCAGACAAAGTATTCAACATAAAAGTCGATTACGGTGGTCGACAACTGAATCCGCCATCATCCGAAGAAAATTTAGTCGAAAATCCGCCATTATTAGAAACTTTAGCAACTAGAATACAAAGTTTACCAGACAATTTTGTTAGGTTATTAAGTCAAGTGCAAAACTACACGAGAACGAACATTTTACCGTTTGTACAAAGTTATAATCCTAGACAATTCACTGATTTGTTTTGGATTAGGCCTAAAACAAATAGTACTTTAAGCATACAGAGTTTCAATACAAGTGATAGTAGGAATTTAAGCATGGAATGGTCGATAACACAAGATTTTACAACTGAATTAATTAGTGAAAATATAAGTTCTACATCTCAAATGCCACACACTACAAGTACAAGTACTGTGGTTACTGAAACGACTACAAGCTTAAATAGTACTTTAAGCGTACAGAGTTTAGATACAAGTGATAGTAAAAGTAGGAATTTAAGCATGGAATGGTCGATAACACAAGACTTTACAACTGAATTAATTAGTGAAAATATAAGTTCTACATCTCAAATGCCACGCACTACAAGTACAAGTACTATAGCTTCTAAGACCACTACAAGTTTGCCAAATATTAAAAAATATCATAATCATATACAAAAAATCCCTAAAAGAGGCCAAAAAACCAACTACAAGTTACCAAAACCTTTCACGATTATCATCGATCCGAATGATTTAACAACAACTACAACTGCACCTTCTAGCACAACTTCTTTGAAACCTGGCAAATTCGAGTCATACATTCAAAAAATCCCCAAGAAGAAAACTTTTAATAAAACTCCGGTCTATAAGCTGTACCCGTGGATAAAGGACTTCAAAGTTGGCAGTAAAGTTTTAACGGCTAAAAATCATCTCGGTCACGATATGAGTTTTCGTATTTCGAGCGATGGAAGATTTGTGGTATGAAATAAGACAAATAAGTTATTTGATTATTGTGTGCTATAAAAAAAAACTATTTAATATAAGGATTTTAATTGATTTGTCTAGAGTTTTTATTATATTTTTCCACAATATATTGCATATATTATGAGTGATAATTTGGATATTGAGTCTTGAGAATAAGTACTTCATTTCAATAACTGGAAAGTATATTTCTGCAACAGAGTCATCAAGACAACAATCTGATAACTCTTGAGAAAAAATGGATGAATCAAATAACAAGAGGAAGAGAAAGCCTTCTTTCTATTTGTATGATTACAAAGTAAACTTAGAATCAGATTTTAACTCAACAAATTTTGGATAGTATTCTACTCCAAAATAATGTCTATTTTGATAATTATTTTTCTAGATTTACACTTGTGTGGCACATCAAACAGTCTCACTAATATTTATCATAAAGATACAACAAATAATTCCAGAGAAAGTCTAAAATTTGTCTTACTACGATACACATTTCTTCAAACTGCAGAAAATTTGAAATTGTCCCACTAATTTTCAGGTATAAGGTCACTCGAGCCTTGTAACTTTTTCAAAATCAGCAGAAAACCAGCTTGAAATTAGTGAAAAACGCTGGTTTTATGCTGATTCAGCTAGTTTTGAGTAGGGTTTCACGATATTTCTTGTTGTTAACTTGATCTGGATTTGAATTCAAGAAAATTTCAAGTCAAGAAATCTGAAACTAATTTCAAGACTCCCTATTTCAAGATCAAGATTTCTTGTCAAGAAACCAAGAAATTCTTCAAATAAACAGTTTTACAAGTGGCTGTAATAGTACATTGAAATACAAGTTGCAGGCTGCCACAATAGCCTTCTGCAACGCGTGTATTATATTATTTTCTCGATTTTGTAGACGTTCTAAACGTTTTTAGTTGGGTATTATTCTCGCAAAATATGTCAGTAGGTATCATTTTACTAAATAGCAGAACTTTCTGATTTTTCGAGCAGGTTGAACAAGTACAGCAATTTGGAGTGTTTTACCAGGAAAAACATACTTCCAGACCAGATAGAGAAAAATTGTTTAAGATATTATGGGATCGATTTCCGAGAAACGAGAAACGTCAATTGTCAAAAACTTTATTGCGATATCTTCAATGCTACCATTAATACAGGGCGATGTTCGATTTTTCCCTATTCTGAAAAATATCTATAAGTTATTTATTGATCAATTTTTTTTTGATTTCTGTAGAAACCTTTTCCGGAAAAGTATAACTTTGCTTCACCACACTTTTGTGACCCATCCTGTATACTTGTAACTAACCCCATTGAAAAGTTTCTGATAATCAGGCCTATGATGTATTTTCTCCTATTTTAACAGTTACTTATGTTATAGCTCAACATCTATACTTCTCTCTATTGTGACGTATAGAATAAACAGTGTCAGACAACTTAACGTTGCTGTTAAAATAACAGAAAATGATACATCATTATGGTATTTTTAATACCTATTTAGAATAACCCCATCCTTATTCATCAATTACAAATCAGATGAAACAAAAAATTACCAACAAAAACTTACAACTTTCAGATTTGACATTTCTGGGTACCTACTTCTTCAAACAGGTAAGATATTTAGGTGTGGGTGCAAAATATAGACAATGACCCGGAACCATTAAAGATATTGCGATATGGTTTTTGACAATCGAAGTTTCTCGGAAATCGGTCCCATGAAATCTCAGTCAATTTTTCTCTATGTGGTCTGGGAGTATGTTTTTCCTGTTAAAACACTTCAAATTGCAGCACCCAACGCGTTTCCAAAGTGTTTCCGAGAGCGATGTAGAAAAACCAAGACAGCTTATTTTCAAGATATCTTGATTTCAAGTCAAGACTTTCACTTTCAAGAAACCATGGAGTCAAGATATGTTCAATTTCTTGATCTTGAATTTCAAGTCAAGTCAAGAAATTACGTTCAACTCAAGATTTTTCGTCTTGATGAAACTCTAGTTTTGAGCTGGTTTTCCCTGGTTTCAAACTGGTTTTCTCTTGGTTTAGATAGTTTCAGATGGTTTTGAGCTGATTTCGAAAAAGTTCCCAGGCTCAAGTGTCCATAGTATAGACCTACTGCCATAGTTTAACCCAAATGTATATTTTTTGCATGATCATGCGATACTTACAATAAGAAAATCAAGAAGAATAATAATGTCTGATTTTCTTCTTAAATCTCTGACTTTCTCCTTGATCTTCTTTCAGTTCATTGCTAGTTTTCTGAGATCCTCCTCGATTGTCTTGAGGGTAAACTCCATCAAGACCAAGATATGTTGATCTGCTTGGTATTTCTGTCTTTCTCCTCATTCAATTGACTTTCCTACTTTCTCTTTAATGTTCTCAATGGTAATTTTTAGATTTACCAATTTCTCCCTTAGTGTCTGATTTTCTTCTTGAATCTTTGACTTTCTTCTTGATCTTTTTTCAGTTTCTTCGTAGTTTTTTGAAATCCTGCTCGATTGTCTTGAGGGTAAACTCCATCAAGACCAAGAAATGTTCATCTGCTTGGTCTTTCTGTATTTCTCCTCATTTCATTGACTGTCCCACTTTCTCCTCAATGTTCTCAGTGTTAATTTTTAGATTTACCAATTACTTCTCAAGTGTCTGATTTTCTTCTTGAATTTCTGACTCTCTCCTTGATCTTCTTTCAGTTGTTTCCTATTTCTCTAAGATTCTCATCTTCGATTGTTCTGGGAGTAAACTCCATCAAGACCAATTTATGTTCATCTGCTTGGTATTTCTGTCTTTCTCCTCATTCAATTGACTCTCCTACATTCCTACTTTCTCTTCAATGCTCTCAGTGTTAATTTTTAGGTTTACCAATTTCTCCCTTAGTGTCTGATTTTCTTCTTGAATCTCTGACTTTCTTCTTGATTTTCTTCCAGTTTCTTCGTAGTTTTCCCTAATCCTCCTCGATTGTCTTGCAGGTAACCTCTATCAAGACCAAGAAATGTTCATCTGCTTGGTCTTTCTATATTTCCTCTCAGTCAATTGACTGTCCCACTTACTCCTCAATGTTCTCAGTGTTGATTTTTAGATTTACCAATTTCACCTTTAGTGTTGGATTTTCTTCTCGAATCTCTGACTTTGTCCTTGATCTTATTTTAGTTTTTTCCTATTTTGAGGGTAAACTCCATCAAGACCAGGATATGTTCATTTGTAAGTATCGCATCATCATGCAAAAAATATACATTTGCGTTAAACTATGGCAGTAGGTCTATAATACGGACACTTGAGCCTGGGCACTTTTTCGAAACCAGGTTAAAACTAGCTGAAATTAGCTAAACCAGCACAAAACTAGCTTGAAACCAGTGAAAACCATCTTAAAACCAGCTAAACCAGCAGAAAATCAACGTTTTTCACTAATTTCAAGCTTATTTTAAGCTGGTTCGAAAAAGTTCCCAGGCTAAAGTGTCCATAGTATAGACCTACTGCCATTGTTAAACGCATATGTATATTTTTTGCATGATTATGCGATGCTTACAATAAGATTATCAAGAGAAATATCAGAAAACTAGGAAGAAACTCAAAGAAAATCAAGGAGAAAGTCAGGGAATCAAGAATAAAATCAGACACTGAAAAAGTGATTGGTAGATCTGAAAATTAACACTGAGAACATTGAAGAGAAAGTGAAGAAAATCAGACACCAAAGAAGAAATTGGTAGGTAAATCTAAAAATTAACACTGAGAACATTGAAGAGAAAGTAGGAAAGTCAATTGAATAAGAAGAAATATAGAAAAACCAAGCAGATGAACCTATCTTAGTCTTGCTGGAGTTTACCCCCAAGATTATCGAAGATGAGGATAGCAGAAAAACAGGAAGGAACTGAAAGAACATCAAGGAGAAAGTCAAGAATTCAAGAAGAGAAACCACACACTAAAAGAGAAATTGGTAAATCTAAAAATTAACGCTCAGAACATTGAGGAGAAAGAAACGCAGTAATTGAATGGAGAAAAATACAAAAAGACCAAGCAGATGAACATAGCTTGGGCTTGATAGAGTTTTTACTCAAGATAATGGAAAAAGATGTCAGAAAACTAGGAAGGGACCCAAAGAAGATCAAAGAGCAAGTCAGGAATTCCAAAATTCCAAGAGAAAATCAGAAATTGAAGGAAAATGGGAAGAAAATCAAAGAAAAATTAGTCGTAAAATACAAAATCCGTGAATAAAAAAGCCTTACAATCACTTTATTTTATTTTGTGTGTAAGTTCATTATACTTTGCTTAAGATATACACGCCTGGCAAGTAAACATCTTACATGCCAATTTTAATGCGATAGAATGGAATGTTTAGAAAAAGTCTAAGGTTAAATAGGGAAAGAAAACGATTTCCCCTGTTCCATCTCCAGCAAAAAGCGCTAGGAATGTTAGAGGTGAAATAGGGGAAATCGTTTTTGTTCTCTATTCAACCTTAGACTTTCCCTAGACATTTCATTCTATCGCATTAAAATTGGCATGCAAGATGTTTACTTGCCAAGCGTGTATATCATTATTTAAGTCAGAACTTGTCGAGGGGTAAACCGCAGGTCAGTTTTTCTACACCAGATTGCGGTTTTAGAGGAAACGATGACCCAGATTTCTGTAGTTTGTCCCAGCATTTCCCTTGTGGCTTCCCCTGAGAGGTTACCTTTAGGCTTCAGGTCAGTTTTTGTACATTAGATTGCGGTTTCAGGGGAAACCATGGATTACTTCCCCAGATCCCCATTGTAATTTTCTCTGATTGCCTTAGATTTCCTTGGATTTCTTCTTGATTTCTCCTTATTTGTACATTAGATTTCCCTTGCGGTTTATCTCTGAGAGGTAACTTGCAGGTGAGTTTTTGTACACCAAATTGCGGTTTTAGGGGAAACCACGGATGATTTCCCCAGACTTCTTCTGATTATCAGTAAGATTTTCCAAGAATTCCCCTAATAACATAACTTCAAATTATAAAGATTTTTGAAAACTGCCCATGCGCTGGATTTAGAGATTGACTGATTTACTTGAGATTTTCCATAATTTCCTCAAGATTTCACCCGAGATTTTCAAGATTTCCATTGATTTCCTTTTAATTTTCCCTGATTGCCTTAGATTTCCTCGGATTTCTTTTTGATTTCTCCTAATTTGTACATTAGATATCCCTTGCGGTTTACCTCTGAGGGAGGGGTAACTCACAGGTCAGTTTTTGTACACCAGATTCCGGTTTTAGAGGAAACCAATAAGATTTCTTTTGACTACCAGTAAGATCGCCCAAGAGTTTCCCCCAAAGATGCCATGAAGATCTTTTCATGTGACAGGAATATCCCAGGCATATGCTTAAGTCATCAGTAATGGGGGCACCTGAGCCTGAGAAATTTTTCGATACCGTGAGAAAATTTCTAGATCGGCGTTGTAAATATTATTAAAAAGTATTATAAAAATACTTGCAAGGTGTGTATAATGAACTTCATTACCCAACAAGTGTTATAATAATAGGAGCCTTTTTCCTTTGAAAATATAAATCCCGGAAGGCATTTTTCAAAAAATTTCCAATTTATTTCATCGTATGTTACAGCTCAAATAATTTTTTAATAATTTGCGCGAGATGTTTATTTTCAATCACTTATCTCGCCGCAATTTTCTAGAAATTCTTCCAAATCGGCCAACTTTTTGGCTTCGTGTTGAATATGCCTTATGTGGCCCCACCTTAGATGCTTCAGCTGCTTCACATAACAATCAATACCAGCTAAAATCAACAAACTATAAGTTAGATAAAATACCAATCAAAATTCTTACAAGTGTTTGGTTTAATTTGACCATCGCTGGCGCTTTTTTCAAAAATCACACGGCTTGATCCCTCTACAGGTGCTGAAGCAAAGGAATTGGCTAATTTTGGTGTTAATTCATAGCAAGCGGGATCGTTTTGACGATGCCTACCTATTGTAGTAATGGCTTGTTGCGGTGACAAATTATGATGAATCTAAAACAAAAACGTTGGGTTTTGTTCCAGAAAAGTCAATCTTTTACCGATTGTCCTCTGGGAACTGTTCCCAATTCTTTACTGAGTGCCTTATCAATCAAATCAACAATATAACTTTTAGATCTGTGCAAATCCAATGCACAATTATCGTCTAACGATTTAATGATTTTCTTATTTTCAACAGATTCAGCTGATTTGTTCATTGCGGCCTTATGCACAGTACGAACTGCCAATTCTTCATCCTTTTTTTGACATTTCTTGCTCAGCTCTTCATAATTGTAGCTTTTCTTGATTGAAGCATCTTTTTGGGTTTTCGGAGATAAAATTTCCGTTTTCGAAGACCTCGGCGAAAGACCGTTTACTATTTCGTCGGAGGTTTCGCATTTTTGCAGTCTGGTCAACAGTTTATCCATACTGATTTTGAGCCTAGGTCCGTATGATGGATTATTTGGGTCAGATTCGGAGGTTTGTTGCTGCTGTTTGAATCTTATCGATGATGGAACCTAAAAATTCAATAATTATAATTTAGATGAAATTATTATGATTTCTTACTCTGGGTTTTAAAATTTTCGCCAATTCCTTTATTTTATTTTTGTCCGTTATAGTTTGAGGCTCTTCTTCGAACGATTCGTCAGGGTGTTTCAGCTTTTCCAACAAGTTTCCGATTCCGTCTAAGTTCTTAACGTCACCCTGAGAGTGCATTTTGTGAGCGGAGTAATTGTCGTTGTTGGTGCGAGGATCGTTTTCCATAAACTCATCAGATTGCGGGTGGTAATTTTTTTTAGTTTGCTACAAAGACAGAAATTTAAATTAATTAGCAATAACCTTGATAAATTATAATGGAATTAGCTGATAGATATTTGTATTAGCATTTTAATTATATGGTACCTATTCGATGCTAGTGTTACTTTGTCTACTATACGAATTACATAATTTATAAGGATTTTTTCACATTTTGTGATAGCTGGGAATGCGCAACTCCTTCCATGTTAAAGTAAAAATATCCTGTAATTTTTTAAGTTTAATTTGAAAGAGAATCAAAGCTCAATAACTCAGAGAAACCGTAAGCCATACCAAAACCAATTTGCTATGGGTTTACTGAGAATTCATTTGCCAAACGGTTCATAGTGAATTTACTCAAACTATATGCAATTAACTTTGCATGAATTTATTAGTTATCAATACTCAATACTTCAATTCAAATCTTTTAAATCTATTTTATAACAGAGTTCTCAAGTTCCTTGGGTTACTCTGTATCGCATTTTTAAAAGGATGTTCAACATAAAAAAACAAACTTATTTTGGGATATTTTAATACAAATCCAGAAAGAGAAGCTGCATTGAGGCCTTACGTGGGTATAAAAAGGCTACCTACACATATTCTCAAAATGATAATGAACTAAGACTTGCAGAACTATTGTCACAACCCTTATACCTTTCGTCCTGGAACGTCACAACAGGAGCGTGACTTGGGGGCGTAGTTGGGGTTCAGGTAGAGAGAAACTCGCTTGGTATAGGTATAATAAGATAATGTATCGAATAATAATAATATTACCCTAGAAATATACACTCTGTACACTTGGCGTGACTGAAGACTGGTCCAGAAGGGCGTTTCCCAATAAAGGTAGTATGCACTGGACCTAGTCTGCAGCGTTCAATGCTCCCAGAAGAAGCTAGGTTTGAGACAGATCCAGAAGGGCGTTTCCCATTGAAGGTAGTTTGCATTGGACCTAGTCTGCTGCTTTCAATACTCCCAGAAGGGCGTTCTCCATTAAAGGTAGATTGCATTGGGAGGAAATTTAGCTAGAGGGGCTTTTCCCATTTGAGGTACTTTGCACTAGCCTTAGTCTGCCCGTAATGGATTTCGGCGCAGTATTTATATCAAATAAATGCTGACTCGTCGACACACTTTAGTAAAATTGATGTACAGAGTGGTATTTACGTAAGTAGTTGACACTATGTAACAGCTTCCAAAGACTTCCTTATTAAATCCATAATGTATCTTAACATAAAGCTATCCATAAAGAGACATGGACTTCCAACCCTCGTAATTGTTAAAGAAAATAATAATATTGAGAAATTTTAAAGTTTAGGCCCTCTGTGGAGGATAAAAAGAATTTATCTTTATTTTGATGGATACTGTTTTGTTATGTCCAAATGTATATGAAAAATTAAAAAGCATAAAAACTGTGTGAAAATTAAAAAGTCCTGTGTCAATTCCTGTGTGTTGGCTAACCAGAAATCAAAATGGCAGAATTCGAAAATGATTTTGTAGTAATCGACAAATTATCCGATAGTGAGTCGTTTGAGATTTGGAAATTTCAAATAAAAATAGTTTTTAAAGCTCACGCCCAGTGGAAAATAGTGAATGGTGAAATCCAATTTGAAGATTTAATCAAAGAAGATGAAAAAACAAGTTGGAAACGTAAAGATGCGAGGGCACAAAAAACAATAATGATAAAAAACTGTTAATGCATATATTAACCTGTGATACGGCTCATGATATGCATGAAAAGCTATATAAGATATTTGAAAAAGATTCTGAACAACAGAAATGCAACTTATTGCAAGAATTTTTCAATTTTTCTACGAGTCTTCATGTCAGCAAGCTGGAAAATATGCAATATCTGCTTAAAGCAATGAATCAAACAATAGATAATGAGATGTTGATTTCAAAAATACTAACAACCCTATCAGAAGACTATAAACATTTTTGCACTGCATGGGAATCCAGTCCAAAAAGTGAAAGAACTGTGACTAACTTAACTAGCCGTTTGTGAGCAGAGGAAATGAGACTGAAGAAAACAGATAATGCAGGAGGAGTAGCTTTAAAAACTGAATAAAAAACTGAAAGGAACAAGAAAAATGTTGGTGAAAGATTTGAAAGAAAGTGCTACAATGTGGTGAGCCAAATCATCTAGCAAAAGATTGCAAAGTGAGAAAAATACCATGCAAAATATGTAAGAAAACAAATCACAAGGAAGAAAACTGTTTTTTTTCCAGAAATAAAAATGAAGGAAACTCATCAAGAAATAAAAGTGAGTTAAAAAGGTGGCCTTTCTGTCACAAGCAGACAATAATAATAAAGACTGTGTGGGGTTTGTGGTCGATTCAGGAGCTTCGTCCCATATGACAAACAATATACATTTATTTAATGTTATGTCATAAAGAACCCTGCCCAAAGTATACGGAGATTGTGTTTATGTCACAATTGGCTGAATTTTGTATATAATGTAGATCACGCCTTGCTAATTAAAAATTACCATTGCACCAATCCTGTAAAATGATTCCTTTTTGGTAGAATTAATTTCATAGGTAGCAAGTAAAACGCTTGGACATTGCAATGAACGTACATACAAATAGGTGGATTTATTGCGGAACACATGGGTGGACCTCTGCGGGACGAGCGCAGCGAGTTCCGCAGCCATCTAGTCACCAATATACTGTTGAACTGTTCAAATAAGAAACTCACCTGAAACATGTAGTTTTTGAACTAATGAAAAAAATTCACAACTGAGTGAATCAAGTTAGTATTGTACTTGAACAATATATTGGTGAATAGATGGCTGGGTCCACTCAAAAGTTCCGCAACAATCCACTCGTTTATACTTGTATAACTTGTCACAATATATTACTAGTTTGATAAAGTAACATTACTAATTCCGGTTAAAAGGCAAATTGACAAAAAAATGGATAATCTTACAAATTCTGACTTTATATAATAAGTTATTGTTCAAGTACAAATAAGTGGATTGTTGCGGAACTTATGGGTGGACCTCTGCGGGACGAGCGCAGCGAGTTCCGCAGCCATCTAATCACCAATATACTGTTGAACTGTTGTTCAAGTAAGACATCCACCTAAAACGTGTAATTTTTAAACTAATGAGAATAACCCACATTTGAGTGAGTCAGTTTAGTATCGTAATTAAACAAAATATTGATGAATATATGGCTGCGGCACTCGCTGCGCTCGTCCCGCAGAGGTCCACACAGAAGTTCCGCAACAATTCACTCATTTGTACTTGAATAACTTGTCACATTATGTTACTAGTTTGGTAAAGTAACATTACTAATTTCTGTTGAAAGGCAAATTGACAAAAAGTGGATAATCTTACAAATTCTGACTTTATATAATAAGTTTGTTCAAGTACATACAATGTAACACATGTGCTACGTATAGTAATTTTTCAGGATTGGTGCAATGGTAACTTTTAATTAGAAAGGCATGATCTACATTACATACAAGATTCAGCCAACTCTGACACAACGACAGTAGTAATGACAAGTCATACTATGAAGAAAATAATGTGCAGGAATTCGAATTGGGAGAAGGCTTGGAAGAAAGAACTCTAAAAACAGGAAGTGGAAGAGAAGTGAAGAGACCAGAACGATTTAAAGATTATGAAGTAAACACGGATTTGATAAATGAAGAAGAAGTGTTATTGATATAGCAAGATGTCATAAATGGAAAAGATAAAGACAAATGGATAAAAGCCATACAAGAAGAAAAAGATTCCTTAAATAAAAATCAGACATGGAAATATGTTGATATTGATGAAGTAAAAGAAAAGAAAATTTTGACAAGCAGATGGATATTTAAAGTAAAAGATAATGGAAAATATAAGGGCAGATTGGTAATTAGCGGCTGTCAACAGCAAAGTGGAATAGGTTTCACATAAACATTTAGTCCCGTAGTCAATTCTAGTTCAATTCGAGTTTTGTTTGCATTAGCATTCTTGTACGGAAATCTAAGTGAAGACATTTACATGCAAATACCTGAAGGGTATACACAAGCAAAGACAATAGGAACAAGGTGTGAAAATTAACAAAATCATTATATGGACCTTTAAAGTGGAATGAAAGATTTGGAAATTTTTCAAAAGAAACTGGACTTATTGCACTTTAAAAGTGATCAATGCATGTTCAAAAATCAAAGTAATACACTTCATCTTGCAATTTATGTTGACGATGGTTTGATTATTAGCAAAAGTGAAATGGACCGGAAAAACCTGATTCAAAAACTTAAAACCGAATTTGAAATGACAGTGGAAGAAAATCCTGATACATTTTCAGGAATGAAAATTAAGAAGGAACCGGGAAAAATTGTTGTTAATCAAGAAAATTACATAGGGATGACATTGGAGAAATTTGGAATGGAAAAAGCAAAAGCTGTCTCAACGCCGATGATATCACAAGAAAATGATCTTAACAACGATCCAGTGAAAATGAAAAATCATGCAAATTATCCCTATAGAGAAGCAGTTGGCAGCTAATGTAGACCAGACCTGTCTTATTCAGTTAATTATTGCAGCAGGAAAATTGAAAAACCATCAAATCAGGATGTAGTGAATGTGAAAAAGATTTTTCCATACTTAGGGGCAACAGAAGAAGAAGGAATCACTTATAACCATTCTGAGTGCGAGAAACTGATAGCATACAGTGATGCAGATTTTGCAGGAGACAATGAAAGTCGAAAGAGTACTACAGGATACGTAATATTTTTTTGTGGTGGTCCCATATCGTGGTGCTCAAGAAAGCAACCAATTGTGTATCTGTCAAGTACAGAATCAGAGGACAGACTCGGACCATTTTCTTGTCAGAGTAAAGCTGAAAATCAGAATATCAAGCTCAAAGAATGTACAATCCAAACAAGATCAACAGTGAGATACAGCAAAACTGGAAAATGAAGAAATCACAAGGCATTTCCAGGTGGAAGCTAAGAAATTGCAAACACAGATGGTATCGACACGAGTTGAAAAGTACTATCCGAAGCAATTAAAGGGGTAGCAAGAGTGACTAGGATTGAAGCCAAGAAGCAAAAATAGAAACCACTGGTACGATCCGGAATGTGAGAGGGAGAGAAATAATTCGAGACCAGTATAATGATACAGGATCCTACTGAAGACAAGAACAGTAAATTCCGACAACTGAGAAGCGAGGCTAATAAACTACTAAGAAGGAAAAAAAGACAATAGGATTAGGAGTTACAGAAGCTAGAAGTCGATGGAAGGAATAATACCAGGAAATTCTATAAGACAATAAGAAAAAGAAATAATGGCGTTACACCCAGAACTAACAACTGTAACAAAACGGCCTAAAAATCTCTTTTTTTTCGCTGCGCAATACAATTAATTGATTTTTTGACCCAGCCAGATTAAGTCGCTAAATTTCTGACGAAACCGTGTCAAGAGCCAAGGGTTATCAGCCGGATCCCGAAACAGTGTCATGCTTGTGTCTTAAAATACGACTCTCGACACCTGGTTCCATGAACAAACCGCATGTTTTGCGACCGATGAGAATCCCAGAAGCGTCATCAAACTGCCAATATAAATAAGCCTGTGAGTCTCCTAGATTTATAGAAAATCTGAAATGTCTTATTATGATACACATTTCTTCAAAATGCAGAAAACCTGAAATCTTTCCACTTATTTTCACTGCGGTTGCCATAAGTAGGTATAAGGTCACTTGAGCCTGGTAACTTTTTCTAAACCAGCTGAAACCAGCACGAAATCAGTGAAAAACGCTAGTTTTGAGCTGGTTTTCACTGGTTTCAAGCTGATTTTGCGCTGGTTCGAAAAATTTCCCTGGCTCAACTGACTATATACCAATGATATCTTAACACAGATAGACATTACAGTAAACAAACTGCGTAATATAATTAATTGGTTTTTTTACCCAGCGAGATTAAGTCGCTAAATTTCTGACGAAACCGTGTCAAGAGCCAAGGATTATCAGTCGGATCCTGGAACAGTGTCATGATTGTGTCTTGAAATACGACTCTCGACTCCTGGTTCCACGAATAAATCACATGTTTTGCGACCGATGAGAATCCCAGAAGCGTCATCAAACTGCCAATATAAATAAGCCTGTGAGTCTCCTAGTTTCATTCGATTCTGTAACGAAGTTCTGGTGTTTAGTGTTGACGTTTTCCTGCTGACTCTCTTGCCGAGACCTTAGGTAATGTTTCAATTTCAAGTATTTTAATTTATTCATCATGATTGTTGTTTTCTGTCTATTATTTATTTTCTCCCCTGTGTAATGAACAAAAGCGTTAGGTTAGTTTCACAAGTCAAATCTCTTTTCCAACATGTATCTTACCCTGAATAACAAAGCCGTTTTGTCATTCTCTTGTCGAGGACGCCCGTGACTTTTACCCACTAAGAATTATTATAACCTAGTCTTTATGTGCTGTATCTTTTAATCTTTAATTTCTCATGTAACGCCCTATACAGGACGCTCATTGATTTCACTCCCTATCATTCCAATACTCCGTATGTATTTTCTTTCATTTCATTTCAGTAAGAGTTTAGTAAGAAAAACTGATTCTTTTATTTCGTTTGGAAAACCCCAAGCTAGCATTCCAACTAACTGCGTACAGCTCAGGTAGCAAGAACCTGCACTAAAGGAGGCAATCTAATCAGATTATTTAAAAGTATCCGCTCAAAGTTACCTAGATTTTTAGTGGGACTTTACACAAAGTCTCTGGTGGCACGCTACCGCAGTACAAAAAGGCCTTTACCAGTGCTAAAACAAAGTCTCCCTTACCCAACCGTCGCAACCAGGTGCCGGTGGTAACACAACATCATCAACGACGACAAAAGGAGACAGAATGATATGCAAAAATTATAGAGGAATATCGCTCATAAACGTATAAGCATACAAAGTTCCATTTTGTCGAGAATAACCCCATTCACAGAGGAAATAATAAGAGACTATCAGTGCGTCTTTCGGACAAACTGATCAACAACCGACCAACTGTTCACAATTAGACAGCTACTGAAAAAAAACTGGGAGGGAACTCAATAGGCAGATACACCAACTGTTTATAGATTTCCAACAGGCCTATAATAGTGTAAAAAGATTTAGGATCTGGGAGACAATGGCAGAAATAAAAAAGTAGAAGTAAGTAAGTTCAATATAAATAATCCATCAGCTTCAGCTCTGGGCTTTTTGCTGGCCTCTACACAAAATGTATATCGTATACCTAACCATAATGAGAACAATCATGTAGCCACATTTCCATAGTTATATTCCAAATCAGTTGGCATGTGAAAACCGATAATAAATAACAAATTTTTACCTGATTCGTTTTGCTTTTTCGCCTGACCAAAGGTTGAGTGACAACGGGCAAACACAAAGCCGACGATTTTGCGGGATTCGTATTTTTAACGTACCTAAAAAACACATAATAATAATCCCACACGCAAAGTTGTGTAATCCTTTTGGGGTTTAGTTTGTTTAATGCCAACCCTTGAAAGCGGAAACTGTATTAGCCTCAGCCCCTCTGTTTGCATTAAACAATACTCGAGGTTTAATATCGGATTAGGTTGGATGCACATTAAGGCTTACTTGGACATTTTCACAGTCACTGGGTATTTTTTGGAGGGTTTCGGCAACTTTTTTCTTGATTCTTGTGCGTAGTATTCCGATTCTTTTGCGGCCTGGGAACGAAGCAGGTCCCTCTGATAAAGTTCCGGATAATAGGTTTTTTTGTATTCACAATATTTACAATTATTGGTATTATTTTCGTAGTAATAATTGTTAGGTAATGGTTCTTCTTCTGGGTAAACGTATTGATTGTTGTCGTATTGACTAAATTTGGGTTTGGCTTGTTGGGGATAAACAGCTTGAGGAGGGTAATCGGCTTGATAAGCCTCATTATAATAGCTGAAAATAATTATTAGCTCAATTTACATAGTGAGACAAAAGTTGCTTACTCTCTGGGTGCTGCAGGGTTCAAATATCTAACATCTGAGTTATTTGAAAGATCTAAAGGTTGCGATTGATGATAATAATATTGTGAATTTCTCAGATTGGTTTCTTCGTAGATAGGTGTATTACTCTAAAGCAAAATAAATTACCTTGGGATTTGGGTTATAGAGGCACAATTTACGTCTGAATAAAGCCGTGTATTTGGAACTTCCAAGCCTAACGGCGCATAATTCTGAACGAAATCTCCATACTCGTTCGTGTAGCCGTTATCGTAATTGTTATCCGGCAAGTGGTAATAATTTCCTTCACCTTGGTTCATTTTCCTATATAGAGAAAATAAAGTTTTTGTTGAAATTGTGTGATTTAAACTCACCTATTGATTGAGATTTTATAAATTATGCAGGAAACAGCTAAAAAAAATTAGATCTTTAAAAAAAAAGTGACAGTAACAGTCATTTCTAGAAAAAGCAGGTATGAAATAATGACAAATTATTTTTCTCAAGCTACTATTTGTCTTCAATAACAATATTTGTATTGAATTTTAATGAAGCTCATCAATAATTAGGTTTGCTAAAAGCCATTTAAGAGTAGAAAGCACGTTTAATCTAGCTAATTCGTGTTTGGACTTTGTGCATTATGAAAATCACGTACCTACTCAAAACATTGATTTCAGTGAAGATAAAAATGCTTATCAAAGTGAAAGCCGTATTGCGTTTTTTAGCTGAAGAGATGGCTCAATTTTGAATTATTAATTTTTATGTTCTTCGTTATTAAAATATGACCGCACAGGCATTATTTATTTTCATGAATAAATTTAATTATACTTGTTATCAAAACATAACTCATTTTGTACCATATTTTAAAACATATTCCGATTTAATATATAAAATATACGATTTTTGACAAAAATAATATGAAATATTATGATGGTCGATAAATGCTTTATTTTTAAACGAATTTTGTAATATTTTGTTATTAATGATGCATTTGTAAGTTTTAGTTTAATTTATAATAAAAAATTTTCCATTGATGCTAAGGATGTAATTGGAAATTGCAAAGAAGTGGAAAATTGAGGAAAAAGGTTGTTAAAATGCAATTTTACACCCAGTTTTTCCTAATATTTCAATAGAAAAAGCTACTAGAAACACATTTTGAACAAATTCGATAGATTTTTTTTTGGTTTTTATTTATTAATTCATTCAATAATCTGACTGAAATTTTGTAAAATATTATATATTCTCGGTTGCATTCAAGTATCTGCGTCAAAAAATATCATAATTTGCCATATTCCCGGCACGTAAAAGTGGTCCATTGGTGGAAGATGTAGTTAGCAAGTTTGCAAGCAATCTACGTAAAAGGTTATTCAGAATACAAATGTTCTTTAATAAAAGGTAGGTATATCCAAAGGTTCCAAAAGTTAATAAGGTTGTTTGATAATAGGTAACTTGATGACGCATCTGGGGTGCCTTATGGAGATTTGCATTATGTTGAGGCACCCCAGATGATGTCATAAAAGTTATCAGGCTTTCTCAAACAACCTTGGATATATCCTTTTTATTATGTATCATTTTACGCATCCTCCCCTGTACTTAAGCAGGCTATCAAAACGTAGGCGTCACAGACGATGGAATTCAGAAAGCTGCCCCCCTTCTGTTGTGAGCTGGATATGCCCTTGGAAAACTGTATAATTATCCAAAAACTGTACATAGGATTGAATTCATACTAACATGGAAAGGTTGAGGGGTTGGTCAGAAACAGGAAAATACCAGTGGCGTACACTCGATCGACCTACGAATAGAGAACCATACGAAAATATACAAAACTGTCTGATTATTCAAAAACTGTACATAGGAAACTGTATGATTATCCAGAAACTGTATATAGTATTGAATTTATACTAACATATACCTACATGCTTAAATTTTGGACGAAAATTTATGGGCAGAAGCTGTTGATTATGCAGTATTCATCATAAATCAGACAGGCACTAGCACATTAAAATCCAAAAGTCCAGCAGAATTGTGGTTTGGAAGAAAATTAGATTAGATGTGAAGAAATTAAAAAGTTTTGGATGTGACTGCTATGTTTTCATTGAACTTCATAAAATGGCCAAAATCGAAAAGGAATTAAAAAAGGGATTTTTTTGTGGGATATGATTTGGACTCGTCTTGCTATAGGATCTACATTTCTGAAGAAAATGATATTTTTCGTTTTGACAATGTTATTTTTGATAAGAAAATCAAAACTGATAGAAATCTGACTGAAATTGGAACTGAGATACCTACAGTCTCAAAATCTGGAAGAAAATTCTGAGCATGAAAGTGATCTGAACTTTGAAGTTTCAGATAGTGAATCGAGGAAACGTTCTGACCCTGAACCTATTGAAAATCAAATGCAGATCAGATTACGTGATAGAAGATCTTCAAAATTACCTGAAAAATTTAAAGATTATTATCTTCAAGAAATAATGAAAAAGATGAACTATAAATAATAATGTGAAAATATTAAAAGTAGAAATAAAGATACATTTAAAAATCATCTGGACACATTTCGTTTACCACAGATTTGGATTAAATTCTCATTTAATTTATGTTTTTCTTTGAGCTTTTCTAAAAAGTTAATGTTTATTTAGTTTTATATTTTTCGCCTAATTTACAAGAAAAACACGCACAATCCGGTGAAAATCCTGTAAAAGCAAAACTCCCTTCTAGTCTGCGCCCGTACGCCAAACTATTTGGACGTCTGGCGTCGCGACGCCGTTGCATTGTTTTCCCGAATAATTTTCGCGTCTTTTAATTACCTAAATATTACGGTTTTCTTCTTTATTTTTTTTTTTGTAGCTTTATACTCATGACTTATTATGTAATTTGGGTAAGTACATTGTTCGACTTATGGATATATATAATTAGTTGATAATGAATTTTTATAATCCCTTCAAATTGAATCCAATCTCAGTTTCAGCTAAAACTAATTTAGAATTTGCATGATGATGAGAAAAAGCTCATTTAATTTTTAAATTTTTGTTTCCGCCTATAGATGGGCAAAAAATTTTTAATATTTCACAAGTTTTGCTAACATTTGGGATTCAGATTCATTTTAATGAAAAAAATTATTTCCGCATGATGCAAATGCATTTTTATATTACTTAAAAAAGTCTATCCACAAAAATAAACGTTATTGATGAGAAATTAAAAACTTTCGTGCTTATTAAAAGTTTTAAACTCTTTAAAATTTCAAAGCTTTTCAAGTTTGAAGTAAAAGTTTTCACTGATGTTCATCTCATTAATTTCGGTATAGTTCCTGGTCGCACTCTGATAAAAAAAAGCTAAGCAGCTTTTTAGCAAAAGTGCTAAAGTTTTGCGAGTAGTTTGACTTGAAAATTATAAAATTTCATCCCAACAAATTACCATCAAATTTGCTCTTCCAAAGACCCAAATTCTATGAGATTTTTAGAGAATTTGAGAATCACAAATATAGGAGACTAAAATTTGAGATAAATTTATTCACATACTAGAAAAGTATGAGATTCTCAACTCAGAAATTTCAAACAGAAGCCAAAACTCAACTGAAATGTGATTAGACTTCAGACAGTCTCCTGTTAAAAAGGCAAAAATTTACTCAGAGATTTTGTCAATTAAAAGTTTAAATTCACCAAAAAATCATTCAGAGACAAAAGAGATTTTAAGAGATCGGAAAATTAAACTTAAAAATATTACACGACTACAATTTATCAAAATATTGATAAAGTTTAATAGAAATTCAATGAAAGATTTCTAAATTTGCTACTAGAATTTGCTAGAGATTCAACCAGAGGCAGGATTTTGACAGATATTTATTCAGAACCGCGCTCTATTGGTTTTTCAGTGTTTGGTGGAAAAAAAAAGGTATCGAATGATAAAAAAGATATTTTGAAAAATTTCAATTAAATTGATGTAAGTGAAGGATTTTTGATGTGAATGTTTCTGATAGGAGTTTTCACAAATTGTACTCGTACTTGGACTGCTTAAGAATATAGGAAATAGGTACCTGGTACTTTTTATCGTACTGAGTAATTTTCGAAATACCCGCGTAGGTATATGCGTATATATATACCCGGGTACATTTGTTATACCCGAATACATTTGCAGTTGGTGAGAAAAATTATTGGACTCTAACTAAATACATATTTATTTGGCCTTGCAATGGTACATTTCCAGGCAAGTTGAGATCTGACATTAGGTCTGTTCCAACACGTCAGAAACCGTCCCATGAGCGATTTCGAAACCACTCAGTGAACGAATTTCGGTTTCCACGCGTAAATTTTACAGTTTGCGCAGAATCATGACGATAAATTGTACGGTGTCTTGCTGTGTTGGAACAGACCTATTGTTACGGTTACGATATGACCAATTTTCAGCCATTTCTTGTTTAGCATCAGATGCTTAGCATGGGTTGCATTGATCGTTGTGATTTCTAACGATAATTTTGAACTTTTCTGTGCACTGTGACATTGTGTCTGTGGCCATAAATTTGGAAATTCTGATTTCCTTTTACAATAATTATCAAAAGCTACCTTGAAGCATAACACAACCCAAACACGGTCATAAGCCAACAATCCCATAAAGCACATCTTATGATTTAGATTTTGGAAAACTTTTCACTGAATTTTATCTCAATAAAAAGAGGTTATTTGAGACTCCGAACCCAAGGGCTTCATTTTCGAGAAAATCAGCTTTGAATCTTTTGTGAAATTTAATACAAAGTTTTGACTTTGAGCCTCAATATCTCCAGAAGTATTTAAGATAGAGAATTTAATCTTATTCTATCTTAAAGATAATTTAATTCTGATTCAGAATATATAATTTTACATCATATTTGTTGCAATAATAACCGAGTAATGAGCGATTTTGTGAGACAATGTCAGATTATTGAAATTTTCTGAGCTCAAAAATTGCAAAAATCATTTTTATTTTTTTACAAGCTCTAAAACCCAAAAAGCAAAGTTGCGTTAATGCTTTTCAACTAATTTTTATCTCCTCTTTCGATTCGTAAAGTCAAAAATTGCAAATTCCAAAAATTTAAAAATTCAAATTTTTCCAAAGGGGTATAATAATAATAATAATAATAATAATAATAATAATAATCGCCTTTATATTACGAAAAAAAGAAAAATACATTTTACAAGAATGTTAAGAAAGATGATAAATCAAGCATGCTAACGAATGGCGCAGTCTAGCTTATAGCTACTCCACTGAACCATGCGAAAGCAAGAAGTACAATTTATAATAAAAAAAATTATGCAAAGTAACTAACAAATTTTGTTGTTGTAAACTATTGTTGAGAAGCCTGTCACTTTTTTTTTCTACACTATACCCACACAAGCTATATTTCATAATATGAGAAAAATAAAACAAATAACTAGCTAGAAATATTAAGTAGGTA